CGTATGCTAGTCTAAATAAAAAGAACCCAAGATTTGATGATTAATTCCACCGTAAACACTTGTATGCGTTGTGTTTAGTCTCTTAAACGGATGATCAATTCTTATTGAACAGTGTATTAATGTATTTGACAATTTTCATTTTTTATTGAGTTGAACATGATTTCGTACACAGCTTATGTTTCAACTCAAAATTTTGATTTCTATGCTTTTGTGTTCGATGAGACGAAAATAAGCGTTAATAATAAATTGTCTCAATCAAAATATATTTTAAAGTATTAGTACATCCAAGTAGAATATGAAAGACGGATGCAACTTTCAAAAATTACATTGAATTAGATATTCCAATCACAGGTTTTTTTAAATAATAATCAGAAACAGATCATCATTAGTTATTTATATTGTGTTTGGTTAATTAAAAACATATTTTTCATCTATATATTTTAACATTTTTCAAATTAATTATTTTTAATTTATAATATTAGCATCAATTTTTTAAACGTAATAATAATAACATGTTATCAATTTAAATATAGAATCAGGCTCATTTTTATAATTATGTATTTGTAAGTATTTTTAATTAATATCATTCAAACAAGTTTCGATTTGATAAAAATACTTCTAGAATAAATCTATATAGACATAAATCAAGTTACACTAAATGTGCTTTTAACTAACTTAGATTTATAAAATTAAGTTCAATCAAACTTCATTTTATAAACCGTATTCCAAACAAATATTTTGTAGTTGAGAGATGTAATATTGGTATGCCATTTAAATTTAATTTCCTCCACAATTTAGGAATCAAATTTAACTTTTTTCCTCCACCTTGGTGATATAGAATTGGAGCACGTTGTAATAGACTTGAAAAGCAAAGAACATCTCGTCAATTTCTTTTTTCTTTTGCCACGAATGTCATCAATTTTTTTTATGTACATAATAACGAAGACGGATTTTGTTATCTATATGAACATTTAAGAAAAGCTCACTGATTGATGGAGTACATCAAAGTTCACATGCTCATAAAATGAAAGACTAAATACTAAACTAATTATGTTTTTTTTTGATAAATTAAAATAAAAACATGCATAAAAATTGACTTTGACTTGATTTCTCAATTTGTGCATGAACACGATTTTTTTAAATATATGCATAAATACATAAAATTGGCTTCAACTCAATTTCTCAATATGTGATTACATAGCTGGTTTCTACACAATTTCTAAATCTATGCATAAATACATAATATTAACTTTGATTAAGTTTATTAGTCTGTGAATGATCACATAGTTAACTTTAACATAGTTTTCCAACCTACGTATTTATGGATAGGATTAATTTCTATTTATTTTCTTGACCTATGCATGATCAAAAAGTTGACTTTGATACAACAGTTTCAACATAGTTTCTCAACCTAGACACAAATACATAAAATTGATTTCGAATTAATTTTTTGATCTGTTCATGATCCGTGAGATGCGCATAGAATCATATTTAACAAGTTTCTCAACCTGTGCACGAATGCAAAAGATTGAATTTGACTCGATTTTCAACTTATGCATGATCCACAAAACTTGCATAGAGTCAATTTCAACACAACCATCTACCATATTATTTGCACATTTTATATACTTTAGAAAAATTTGCAAGTTATTAATCATTTGAATGGGGAGATCAATTAATCAAACGAATTTATTATTAATCTTCTACACTTATTGAAATTTGTAGCTTACCATTGAAATTTGTAGCTTACCAACGACATCTGTAAATTGATGACAATATTATTAACTTCCACATTTAGCCAACTTTATAAGTTATGGACCACTTTGACCTGGGCTTTATTTTTTAGTCTTTATGGCTTTATGATTCGAGATTAGGGAGCTATGTTCCTCATAAGTCTATAACTGATTAACCAAGACTTTATTTTTCAATTCCTTTGTCTTTATGATTCAAGATTGGAGAAATTGCATACACTTTTAAGTCGATAGCTGATCGACCTAAATAATATAGTGAGAGATATAAAAGATTATGCGTCCTATGATGTGAACTTTTTTTCTTCTTTCTCTCTCCTTGTCTCTCTTTTCAAAAAAGAAAAAAACAAAAAAAAATATGAGATGGAAGATTATTGTTTCAATTTATAACTTAGATGATAATTAGACTCTCCTCCTTAAAAAACGTGTTTTTTTTTGCAAGATTTTATTAAGTAATATACTTTTATAAGACGTCGTCAGACGTTTGCTTTCGAAATTTTTTTTTTTTTTTAATGAAACTTAAATTGGAAGCACTGTTACTGAATCTTTTTCATAAGAATCAATTTAAAATGTTTTCGTGTTAATTACTTTTTCAAATTTTTTTTTGATTAAAGTTATTTTTCCTTATTTTAATAAATGATTGATATAGTAAAAGTCTTATTAATATTAGGAATATAATTTTGAAAAATATAAATTTAATATTATAAACTAATTTCTTAATAAATTAAGTAACTAAATCTTATAAAAATTACTTACGGAAAAGCATTACAGAAAGTGGTAAAGTTGGATATTCTTTTTGAACCTTTCGTACGCCAATTTGTCAACTTATGCGAAGTGAAGAATCGAATTCCATGAGAGTCGTGCTATCTTGGAACAAATTAAAGAGTAAAGTTGGGTTACATGTATCGAATTGGATTCTCCATCATGCATGCTACACAATTAATATCTCCGAATTAGATTCTGCGTTCTGCCTTACCATCACTGAACAATAATAAAACTATAAATAGTGGCTGAAAGTACGTAAGATGAAGCAGCAAAAGCTCAAAGTAAGAAAAATGGCATACCGGTGGCGAGGGCGATGCCCCTCTGAGGAGTACCAAGTGTACGACCCCCCAGTAGAGGCTAAACATCATAGGCATAGGCAAGACAACAAGGGTCGTGTGGCATTCAGAACCAACTACGAGGATCCTATAGCTGAAGAAGTAGAAGTAGAAACCAACTTGGAGGATCGTGAGCAAGAGCAACAACGTTTCCAAAGTACCAGGTTTAATCGGAATCACAATGCTTACAAAAGCGTTGACCAAGAGGCTGAGGCTTTTATTCTGTATGAGCACAGTAGGATGGAGATGGCTAGGCTCATGTCAATAAGGGATGCATGACCTTTTCTTGTACATATAGAGGCTTCATGTACATTAATAATGCTCTTATAGTCTATGGCTGGTTAATTTGGTGTGCCCTTAAAATGGTTAAAAGATTTTGGGGTGAGACTTTGTGAAAAAGTTTTACTAATGATTCATCCCTCAATTTTTTTTATCACCCCTTTTAAGATGCTATCAAATTGAATCGTAGCCATACCAAACATATCATATCATCAATAATATCTACGACTGGAGTGCTCAGGGACTTCTTTTTTTCTTTTTTTTCTTATCTTTATTTCACCTAAATAAATGCATTGAGGCCTCACATTTATATGACTTGTTTGTAATTGCTTCAATCCTTTCCCTTGCTATGCTATGTAGAGTACGAACAACAATCAATGATATACGTTGTTATATAAAACCGTGTCTAAATAAATTTCAAGCATAAAGTTGCCATGACAAATTAGGGCCTTTTAAGGATTATTAACTCATAAATATACTCAAGAAATATATCTTTTGGACGTCTAATATGCTAAAATATACTTACAAAGTGAAAAAAAAAGACAAAAAAAGTGATAACTTTGTTCAAAGCATGATCAACACTAAATGTGAATATTTCTTATAATTGTGGAATATATTTTAATTGGCTACCATGATAAACGTGATGAAAAATTATTGCGATATTTATCATGGTAGGCATAGACAAGAACATACTCTAATAAAAGATGAGATTTGACGGAAATCAAAGTTGTTTAGTTTTAATAGTTTTCTTTGTGGACTATATTGTATTCCCTTTTGCTTAAACTCATTGGTAAGATGATAAAATGGTTCAAGGAAAGTAAAGTAATTAGATTGCGAATTTTCTGCGTCATTTGTTCAAAGATGGAGTATCATTGAAGGAAAGAGAATTTATGATTCAAGGAATCTGGCTGACTTTTCACCAAACATAAAGTTCAAGTATTTGAACTTATTAATGATAATGGTAGAAATTTCAAAAATAAATAAATAAAGCAGTTGTCACAGCCCACAGCAACCATGGGAAATGGAATCTAGAAATCTCTCGAGACAAACATCATGAGTTCATGACACGAAAGATAGAAAAATTCATATCACCTACGCATCAGATTTAGTAAATAATTCTGATAACTTGTTTTAGAAGGTTTATTTATTTACGGGTAGAATGCTTGTAATATATTCTTTAATATATTTTTTTATTATTAGATAAAATTTATTAAAAATTATAAAATTAAGAGTAAAATAATTAAATGATTTGTGAGACTCACGTGTTTTTTTTAATAAATTCTAGTGAAATATAAAGAGTATATTACCGAAAAAAAATGAGTATATTTTAAAAAAATGTTGTTAACATTAGTTAAACCACTTCTCCGCTTACAATTTGTCACATTTCGCAATGAATTCCTACATTGAATGTTTGTTTAGTTTCCTATCATATTGTTGGGCCATAAAGAAATTTTTGCAAGTGTTGTTGGACTAAAAAATTGTTCAATGATACCAAGAATCAAACTTGAGGAAAATACAAAGATTTGAAACTAGTGACACTAAATTGTATTAAAATTTAACTTCTCTCATGTATTCAAGTTGAAATTAAACACAGCATTGTTAGTTTGAATAAAAAGAATTCATAATTTATTAATGGAGTAAAAGGGAAAAAAAAATCTTTATTTTACTATATTGTATTTCAATTAAATCCTGTGTCTATCTTCAGTATGTTTTTTTTTTCTTTTTCTATAAGTACTTATTGAATAATTTATCCGAACATTTCCTTACATAATTAAAGCAATAAATGTATCAAAATAATCATGTGAAGGTCAAAAACAAAAGCAAAAGTGACGATGAACAAGAATTTCGTGTTGTCTCCTAATTATGAACGAGCAAATCAGAGAAATCAATTCCCTTGGACTTGTAGTACCCTTTTTCTGCGTTAGTCAACCTACCCTGGAACATCCTCCACTCCATGCCACACCTCTCCTTCACCTGCCACCAATAATACCACATATTTCAGAATCAAACTCCATAAAATCAAAAACATTACAAACTGCTTCTTGGTAAACTTAGGTATCAGTTCTAATGCAAGAAAAAAGAAGCAAAAAGCTATGTGCTCAAGAAAGAAGATCCTAAACAATAAAACAACAGAAGTGTTGCTAATGTTGTTTTCTAATCAGAATTTATGTTTCACCTCAATACTAAAAGTAATAAATAATTCCATTAAATGTCAATACATGTATTCTTAAGAAGGAACTTCAATTCTAATTGAAGAACAACACCAACAATATCAATAATATTGTATCTAAAAATTTTGTGTATAATGAAACATGCTTCACATACCAACCGCCATGCAGGTTTTTCGGTTGTTTGTGCTTCTCCCTATCAAGCACATAGGAAAAACAAATAAGTATTATGGAGCTGCATTTGAGTTAAATAATTAACATTAAATAATAGGAATAATCATGGGGGGAAAATTACCTGGTTCCCAAGTGAGGGAATACCTTGATGAACAATCGACTGAGCATCAACAACTCCAATCTTCTCATGGGCAGGCTATATCATAGGAAGTGTCAGTTCAATATTCCATATAGCGTATGTATCAGTTTCATAGGAAGTAATCAGTAATCAGTTAATAGGCTCACCTCAACACATTTTCTAAAAGCAAAATCAAGACCCCATCCATGGACAAATTCATTCTGCAATGATCAGTGTGTTACAATCATAACTCATTGGAGGCCACACACAATTGGTTATTATCAGATACAACCAATCAAAAATTCAAGAGACATTAAAATAACACTCTAATTTCATTGTCATGCTGATATTTTTGTTGGGTATGAGTGCTCATGCAAGGATTGTTTGTTCTCAATCACTAATAGAGATATATGTTTGACAAAATAGAATAGAGTAACCATTGAACCTGAATCATATGCCACACACAGCGCCACGCATTTCGTGAAAACACTGGAGCCATAATCTCAACAAACCTGCATGTTGACAAAATTAATACAGAATGGTGGAATCAGATAACTAAAGATGCTACCAGAATTAGCACCTTACAAAAGAAGAATGAAATAAGAATCTGTTTGGATATACTTCTCAAAAAACACTTGTGAGAGTGAAAAATAGAAAAGAAAAATGAATTGAATTCTATAAATTAAAATTACTTCGTGAATAAGCTAATTTGTAAAAATGTTTTCTTATTAATTTTTTTGAAGTCTTATTTTTAACTTTTGTATAAATTAGTTTTAACTTATGAAAATTTATTTTAATTTTTTTCTTTTTTCTTTTTTCAAAGTACTTCCGAAGAAGTTTATATAAACATTCCTTGAAAACAATACTTTTTTAAAGAGTTACTTACGCTGCACATGGAGGCAGAAGAGGGTACTTACACCTTCCTGGTTCCACTGCTTCTCTAGTAGAAATCAAAGTAATAAACAGTCAACACACTCAGATTAACACACAGCACAAGAAAACTGGTGCAAGGTTCACATCATTCTTACTTGTGAACTTCACTGTGTTCTCTTCTCTTTGTCATATTCCAACACACCCATTTGGTAGTATTACTAGGTTCCAAGGCAGGCTGTGATATCTCCAAGCGATGCTTCCTCACCAGTTTTAGGTACCTGAAATTGGAATTAGAAAGGAAATGAGACTTTCTTAGCAAAGCCAAAATTAAAAGAAAATACACATCATATCTGAGACTCACTCCTCTGCATTGAAATTCTCAACCCCCAGGTCTTCATCCCACATGAAAATATAGTCATATGGTGCCACAATGTCTGGATGTAGAAACCTCTTGGCATACCACCTAAGAGGAGAAAGAAATAGCAAACAACCTTAAGTTTGGTACGCAATATTAACTAAAAATGCCACAATGAAAATTTAAGCAGTGAAGTTTTAATTTTACCATTTGGTTTGTTTGTGAACACTGACATGAATTGCCCTTTTTGACCACTCAAACTCATCCCATTCCGTTGTTCGGCCATCATAATGAAATAGAAGGATTGTGAAGTTCTCTGAGAACTGTTCAAGTGACATATCTATTTTAAACTCACGTCTACAAGACTAAGCACCAGCACTATGCAGAGAGAGAGGGAGTGAAAGAGAGATAACCTTTTTCACAACTGCATCGATATTCTTTTTCTGCTCACACCCAACAGTAAAGGTCACAAGGTACTTTGGTTTAAAGGTCAAATCCTGCAAGTGGAAATTAATCGTTTTTTTTTATATATGTATAACCTATCACAACAAAAATATCAGAGGCACCCCTAGTTCAAGATAATAAAACAGCAAAAAATAAAAAAAGAAAATAAAGCTAGAAAGAAAAATCACATGTGGCAAGCTACGTTCTTAGTCAAACAGTCCCAAGAGTAAGACTATTTTTGCAAATTTATTAACCATAGCATAATGTTTAACAGCACATTAATCTGTCTTTAGCTGCATTTTTTTTATTACAATTGAAGGGTGTACCTACATTGAGCACATAAATAAACTACTGTAGTAGACTTCACCTCACTAGGCAAACCCCACAATCTGCGCAAAAATAAGTCAGATTCTGCACTGACAATCCCAGGTGGTAATCTTTCTGCACCTCTTGGATTTGTTGGAACCCAAATCTGCATACATCATGGAAACAAATAGTAATAGTCTGATGATCATCATTCCAACCTGGACAAGCCATATTTTCAAATATTACATATTATGAAATCGTAGTGAAATCCTTTAACAATTATATTTCATAATTGGCTAATAAATAAGAAGAGGGTGAAGCGAAAAGGAGAGGCAAGAGGTTTTCTGAATCTCACGTTGCTATATTTAATTTTCCTTTTCTGCTCTTGTCGAATAACATAATAAAATTCTAATATATCTTATTTTCTTCCTCATATATTCTGATAAACAAACACTGATTCTGTTCACAAGGTATTCTGCTTTAAATAACAGTCTTTGATGATTATACATTTATACTTATTAAGCTCTATATAATATTGGAGTAAACATCTCTAATCTCTAATTCCTTCTTAAATTAAAGTCAATCACTTTTGCACACCATTTATTCAGAGAATCTAAATTCACCCTCTACTTTTTCTGGATACCTTAACTGCTATAACCCTTTCAAGCATGATGCTCAATTAATAAGGTGCTGAATCTTTCTTGACTTTATGAATTTCGTTCTAACTATATAATTGAATAAAATAAGTTTCTCTCTTAACTTTCTTGAATCACTGTACAGCCTACAATTTTCAGGTCCTTCACATGGATGAGACAGGAAAAGATGCATACCTTTGTTGGGTCATTTAGAACCTGATCTTGGGATGAGGTGCTGCTATCTTTGTATTGGTCATGTATACAAGAGAGATGAAGCAGGCCATATGGGAGATTCAACTGCGAATTGTTAAGCACGTTAATTAACACCACCAAACCATATGACTAAATACCCTCTCAATCATAAGGAACACCAGGAATAAGATATTCAATTTCCACACCTTTGTTATTGACAGTGGATGGAGTGATAATCCTACGAATAAGCCCAAAAATCCTCCAACAAAAAGTATCACAATATGCCTCATACTTTCATTCGGTTTCCTAACAGTAAAACTTCAGGCAACAAAATGCAAATGTCAATTAGCTTATGCAAAATTTCTCAAGAACAAGCATAATATCAAAGTTATCTACGTCCAAAGATTAGAACCTGCGGGCAGAGCTCTTCATTATATCCAATCTTTTCTGATTGTTTTCTCCATATAAGAAACTCGGATGCTTATTAAATGGAACCAAAACACTAGATTACCAATTTACCATTCAGAAGAACAAAAAGAAAACACATAAATGGTACGAGAGAGAAAGAGATCATACTTTGGTTGGAATATTTATCTTTTGGAATTCGAAAATCAGATTAGTTATATTTCCACTATGAAGGTGTTGGTTCCACTTCCACGACCCAAGTGGAAAAGTAACATATTATGAGATTTTCTTAGTTTTTGTTGAAACATATAAAGTGACAATTGAGGAAGTCTGAACACCTCTTGAAAGCACACCTTAAAAGTGTGATCTAAGAAACCAAATAAAGAAAGCAGGCATTGTTGAAAGTTGAAACAGATGGAGCAATGCATGACATGAGTGATGACTTAGTAACGCATGTGCTTTCCCCCAAATAACCTCCGCAAGTAACTTTGCGGTTTCTTTGATAAAATGAAATGCACGAGCGCCACCACGTGATATCTCCACCTTATAAGAGGTAATTTTTTTAAAAAAAATTAATAAATAAAAAAAAAACATGTGCACTTTCTTTCTAATACAAGAAATATGCTAAACCATGGTGGATCCTACCAAGACTCGAGACTCCCTAAAAAAAAATTTCAACACAATCCTTATTATAAAGTGAAATTTACGAAAGTCTTCACAAATATGAAATAACGTCTTGACCAATAAATAAAATAACGTGGATACATATTTAATGAGGCACAAACCTACATTAGTGACTTCTATAAGAATATGTATGATCCATCTTTGCTATGAAAGACAATAAATGCCTTTCTCATATAATTAAAAAACGCATTAACATAAATAAAATGGTAAGAATAGGTAATCCAAAAGTGTGCAAGTTAAGGTAAATTATCCCACATTAGAACTTTCATGTAATAATTTTATCAAATACAATCCTATTACAAAATAGTTTTAGGTGTATATCTATTACAATTTTTGTTGTTCAATAACTAATTTGGTCTCAAGGTAGCGAATGATTTTTTTCCTGATGGGAGTATTTTTAAGGATTTTTTAAAAATTCATTAACTCTTATAACTTATCATTTTTTATCTTCTAATTAAATTTCAATATTTTTAAAATTAGATTATCATTATATAATTTTTCATCATAAATTTGAAATATAATTTACATGTTTAAATATATTTATTTATTATAAATTTTAATTACATCATAAAAGTAATAAAATTAGATAATACTAAGATGACAATGATGATTAAAAATACAATATTTAACACCTAAATACTATTAAATATTAATTGTCGCATCTACTTGATATTGGATTATGATTATTATTATGATTTTAACTATTAGACTGAAATTATAAATTAAGGGCTATTAGACTATTATCATGAATATTTAATTATTAAATTGAAATTACAAATTTTATAAAATTGTGTACTAAAATTACAAAATAAAAAACTGGAAACCAAAATTTCATATAGAATATTAAAGAGAACTAAAAAATACAATTTAACTTCTATCGTTATTCAATAACATAACTGAACTAGAGATTGGAATTGCAACTATACTAATATTCTATTATTAGATTATGAATTAGACAAAAATTGAGGTGAGATAAAGTCAATGATAGATCTTTATATCTAAAGTGTTCTTAAAAATGTAAAAATCAAGTGATGTATCCCATTGGTAATTGCCAATCACCCCTCCAATTAGGAAAATGTAATAATAAAGTTAAAAAAAATTAATTGAGAGATGAATCGTGGAAAAACTAATTCAAAACCATAATATTAATTCAAGTGAGAAGTGAGTGAAAATTTCACAAATCTATTCTTAGAGTTAGCAAAATATATATCAACTCTCAGATAACTTTACTATCATAACGAAAAAGTAAGTGGAGAGTTGAGACACTTTTTACTAAAAGACATTTTTTTTATCCATAGACCTAAAAAGTTGTATTAGAAGAAAATCGTTAAATGACATTCATGAATAGTCATTCACCACTATTTAAAAAGGAGTTCTTATGAAAACGAAAAGGTAAAAGTTGTATTTGTATATTCCTGTGTGCCTTCCAAAGCACCAAATCGAAAAATATGTATTTGATAGATTGAAATCAATCCATGTTTATTTCCTATTGCACAAGTTCGTGCAATGGGAATAGTTTATCACGTTTGTAAAAAAAAAAAAACTTATAATTAAGAGGGTTTTCTCAAGTTTATTCATAAAAACCTTTAATATTATTTGAAATAATAATAAAACTAGACATAAAGACGCGCGATGTATGAATAAAAAAGAAGTTATTTAAATTAAAAAATATTATTTTGTTAGTTAATGTATAAATTTTATATATAATTTTTTTATTATGTAATATAAGTTTGTTATTGATTTTTTTACAACAAATAAGTTTATTATTTTTTATAATAGGATTTTTTAAAAAAAGTATTAATATAAATATTTTTTATATTTATATATTATTTCATCCTTTATTTTTTTTGTTAAGATTCAAATTCAAAAATATAAGATTCAAGTAAATATTCTTTCAAAAATTTCATAACTAAAGGTAATATATCTAGATAAATATTTTTTATAACTAAATTATAATATAGTCTATTTCAATATTTTATAAAATTAATAAATTAACAATAAAGAATATACATATATTCATTATTTTTAAATATGTAACTCTTATCCAATCTAATTATCGAGAGGTTTGCCAAAAAAAAAATTCTTGTTTAAAATTAATATTAATAAAAAAGTTATTATTTTTCTTATTAATGAGCATAAATGTCAATTAATAATAATTATTAGGTTTTGGCAAAAATAATTTTTTGATAATGATTTATAATTAATATTAATAACAATATTAATTACTATAATATTTATTATTATTTTCTGAAACGGAGAATTTAATTTAATTAAATTTCTTAAATATTAAATTAACGATGAAATATTTTAATCTATAATTAATATTAATTAATATTGCTTCATTTTTGTTTATAATTAAAATTAATTTGTTTGTAATTAAAAATTTAATACAATTTAATCTCTTAATTAATAAAATCATTAAGTCATATATAATTACATATTATGCGTAATTTTAAATTAGACATTATAGTTTTGACGAAAAAAATGTTTTTATTTTTTGTATTTTTTTAATAACGAACAATTTAATTAAATTTAATTTTTTTAATTATTAATTAATATGATTATTTATATAATTACTAATTTACTAATTAAATACAATTTGAAGCTATGTAGAAGGACAATAAAAATAATATTATAGATAAAATGTGTGACAAATTGAGAATAGTGAAAAAAAAGAGGATAAGAAATAAAATAGATAAAATGTAAATATGTAACATAGAGAGTTGAGGAGAAAAAAAGAAGAAAAAGTAGTACGGTTCATTTTTGACAAAGTCTTGTGAAATGAAAAATAAACAAAGAGGGTGATAGATATATTAGATAAAACGTAAATATATAATATAAAAGGTAGAGGATAAAAAAGGAAGAAAAAGTAGTATATTTCATTTTTGACAAAGATTGTCATGTCAAATGAAAATTAAACAAAGAAGAAATAGATTAGATAGAACATAAATATATAATATAAAGGATAGATGAGAAAAAGAAGGAAGAGAGAAAAAAGTAGTACCATGAAATAAAAATTAGATAGTAGAGAAATGAGAGGAGAAAAAAAAAAGAAGAAAAAGTAGTACATTTTATTTTTTACAAAAATTGTCATGTGAAATGAAAAATAAACAAAGAGGGTGATAGATTAGATAAAATGTAAATATATAATATAAAAGGTAGAGGAGAAAAAGAAGAAAAATTAGACGATAGAGAAATGAGAGTTAAATTAAATAAAATGCGGAGAGATGTAATGTATAGAAAGTAAAGAGAAAATATGATAAAAGATAGAAGTTTATAGAATTTGATGACGATGATGATGAAATAAAAATTAGACAATAGAGTAGGGATGGCAAAAATACCCCTACCTGCGGGTAAAATCCGCTACGGATAATAAATGGATAAGTTAATTGGGTACCTGCGGATAATGGGGACGGATAATTTTTTACCCGTTTATAAATGGGGCGGGGGCGGGTATGATGATATCCATACCCGGGGTACCCGTTTAATAATATTTTTTAAATATCCTAATTATCCTTGTACCACATAACCCTAAAACTACACTCTCATCTTATTTTCTTACAAAAGTGAGGTTGATGAAGTTATCAGCATGTGTTAAGCATGTTATAGAATTATGTTGGATATAATTTGATTAATTTTCTAGCTTTGATTGAACTAATAAGATTTATGTATTGACTCATGAGATTGAATTATTGTAACTTTGTGATGAGACTTTAACTTACTTGTGACATTGATGTATCTTAAATTATTGATTATCTTGCATTTTTATTATTATTTCAACAAAATTAACATTAAATACGAGTTAAAAATTAACATTGAATTTTTATTTTTAATATTTCAATGACATTAAATATAAACTTAAAATTATTTGTAATATAATTTTTTTAATTTCTTAAAAAATTTATAAATATTCATGGATATTCATGTATATCCATGTATATCCGTGAGTATTCAAGAAATTCATGGATAACCGCACGTATGTGGGGTGGGTATGGGGCCAATTTTCATCCAGCGGGGCGGGGATGGAGGCGGGTTTACTATTACCCGCCCCCATGGGATCCTATTGTCATCCCTACAATAGAGAAATGAGAGTTAGATTAAACAAGAAGAGATAGATTAGATAGAATATAAATATATAATATAAAGGATAGAGGAGAAAGAAAAAAAAAAAGAAGAGAGAAAAAAGTAGTACCATGATAAAATAAAAATTAGACAGTAGAGAAATGAGAAGAGAAAAAAAAAGGAAGAAAAAGTAGTAAATTTCATTTTTGACAAAGATTGTCATGTGAAATGAAAAATAAATAAAAAAGGGTGACAGATAGAACGTAAATATGTAATATAAAAGGTAGAAGAGAAAAGAAAAGAAAACAATAGAGAAATGAGAGTTAGATTAAATAAAATGTGGAGAGATGTAATATATAGAAAGTAATAGAAAAATATGATAAAAGATAAAAGTTTAGAGAATTTGATGACAGTGATGATGAAATAAAAATTAGACAATAGAAAAATGAGAGTTAGATTAAATAGAATGTGGAGGGATGTAATATGTAAAAAGTAAAAGAAATATATGATAGAAGATAAAAGTTTGAAAAATTTGCCACATAGACAAATATACTGACATGACAACATGTAAAATTAGTTTTGTAATGACATGTCAATATAATAAAGTGTAGCTCAACTTTTATATATAAATAAATAAATAGATAGTTATTCTCATAATCATATTCAAGATGTGGCCAAACCATCTTAAATTTGTGTCTGTAGCTATTTTTAAATAACTGCTTTCTTCTCCATTTTTTAGATTTTTTTATTCATTTGATTATTTAATAACTCCTTATAGATAAAAGATAATATATATATATATATATATTGCAAATTTTAAAATTCAAAAAAACATATTATTCACGAAGGTATTACCTGCAGATAAAACTTCGCAGAAAAATTTGTAGGAACAACGTTGCCTGCAAATTTTTATGAAAAATTCGCTGGAAAAGTTGCATGTAATAAGAGAAATTCTAGTAGTGTAATACAACCTATATATATATATAATTTAGTTTTTGAGATGATTTTGTGTTGTGGTAAACTAAATTATATATATATATATATATATATATAATACAACTGTTTGTGTAACCGTTATATTAATTTAACATAATATATCAAGATATTGCAAATATTATACTAATCAAATTAATGAAAGTATAGCATCTACTCAAAAATGTTATTTAATTTTAAATTTGATTAAAAATATTTTAAGATATATAAGATTAATAGTAGAATGCGTAATGTGAAAAGTTAAAATAATTAAAACTAAAAAATATAATCAAAACAATTAATTTATAAATAGAAAATTGCAAGGGTTAAAGTTAATTAAAAAAAACTAAAATTATAATCATCTCAAAATATATGTTATCAATAAAATAAAACTAAAATTAACATAAAAAATTATATAAACATATCAATTTTCACCATTTTACGTTTATCAATTATTTCAACAAATAATTTTACTAAACTTATAACTCAACAAGTCAACTTAACACCTTTCATGCACCAATTAACATTTTAGCTTTCAACTAACGAATTATACAGCTTTTATCTAATTTTTTAGCTTCTTTTGTCAAATATAACTTGTATCTTTCCATTTTATTTCTCTTTCTTTCTATTTCACTTTTAATTTAATAAATTATATTTTCAACTTCATTTGTTTAGAAGTTTCACGAGGATGTGATGTTGTGAACGACTACATACCGTTCCAACTAGATAATGGGCATCCCTGTCGAATCAAATTTGTGTATACCTGCCATTGCATTCCTATTTCATACAGGCAAACGTTCCAAAAAGAATATTATAATCAAATACACTAGTTACACTATAAGTTTTATTTACCTCAATCTAATTCTCTAACTTTCAGCACTGGAATTCCACATCGAACTGTTGTTTGGTCCTTAGCCAGGACTCAGAATTTTGAGTTCAAGTTACTAGTACCACAAACTTACAAAGAAAAAAAAGAGAGGATGGAGTACAAAAAGATGTATATATCATGCAAAAATAAAAGCTCATGGTGATGGCTGTGTACAAGTCAACTTCAGTCGTTGTTGTCCCTACTAAGTAGTTGAATTAAACATATCAACTCCCACGGCCTTATAATATGCGTCTTCTGCATTTGCCAACCGACTCTGAAACATTGTCCACTCCTTTCTACACCTCTCCCTCACCTGGCACCAACACCATGGTTCATCATTCATCAACATGCATAAATGGAAGCAAAATAACACCTTCTTGATTAACTAAATTGAGTTATAAAGTTAAACTAGTATGGAAGAAAAACGTTGTTTGAATGGGAGAGGAATAAAAACTGTATGAAACATGCATAACATACCCCTTGCCATGGTGCTTCCCCAGATTGTGACTCTCCCTAACAAAGAACAGAAACAGATAAATATCTGACATCGGCAATATGAATAAAACTTTTTAGTCTAACAAGAATAATCATGACAAACAATTACCTGATTCCCTAGTGAGGGAACACTTTGATGAATAATCCACTGAGAATCAACAACTCCAATCTTTTCATGGGCAGGCTACATGATAGTTAGAGATGTTAGTTTAATGTTCCATAGCACAGCAATAGCAATTAAAAAAATTGGAATTAGATGAATTAAAGTGATGAGACAACAGACTCACCTCAACACATTTTCTAAGAGCAAAATCAAGACCCCACCCATGGACCAAGTCGTTCTGAAATGCCAAAAATAGTACGATCATAATCAATTGCAAGACTCCAACGGGTGCTTAAACAAAACATTAAACAACTAACCCATGAATATTTTAAAAAGAATAAGAGTAAACATTTAACCTGAATCATATGCCACACACAACGCCATGCATCTCGTGAAAACACCGGGGCCATAATCTCAACAAACCTGCACGCTTAACACAATCGGATACAGCTTGGTCTGTATGGATAACACATAAAACAACAATAATACTTCAACTAATACTTACGCTGCACAAGGAGGCAGATGGGGGTCACTGCACCATCCTGGTTTCTCCTCTGTTTCTCTAATAGAAACTCACAGAATAAACAGTTAGAAAACATTCTTTTACATAATAAATACCAGAAGAAAATAGGCACAGGATTCTCGTCTTACTTGTGAACTTCACGGTCACCTCTTCTCTTTGTCATTTGCCATGTCAACCCTTTATTAGGTTCCAAACCAGGCTGTGAAATCTCCAGTCCATGCTTCTTCACCAGTTTTAAGTATCTGTGATTGAAATTAGAGCACATCAAACTTCATGAGTAAAATTAAAAATAAATTATTAGGTATATAAGTATACATGTATTTGATTTTGATCTGCTATCAATTATAGAAGTTCTAATACGATCGTCTAATTGCATATTACCACATCCGAAAAGTTAGATCATGACAAACTAAAAAGTCAAAATCTTTTAATGTAGAATTAACAAATAATCAGATGATAGTGTAAAACTTCACCCGGATAACATCAAAATTAAACTCCGTATCATATCATATTAAACACTCACTCCTCAGCATTAAAATGTTCCACACTCAGGTCTTCATCCCATATAAAAATATAGTCATATGGTGCCACAATATCCGGGTGCAGAAACCGCTTGGCATACCACCTAGGATGGAAAATAATCAAATGCTTAATAACATAACATAATTGAATTAGCAGAACACTTGCTGTTAGTTAGGCAAACAATAATAATGGTAAAAGTTGCACTTGAGCAATGGATTCTTACCATTTGGTCTGCTTGCGAACACTCACATGAATTGCGCGCTTTGACCACTCAAACTCATCCCATTCAGTTGTCCGACCATCATAATGAAATAGAACTATTGTAAAGTTTTCTGAAAACTGTTCCAAGTAACAGAGCTAATTTATAGACCCATACACAATTACAAAGCTAATGCATCAGAAAGAAAAAGAAATTAAGATATGACCTTTTTCACATTCGCATCAATATTATTTCTCTGATTATGACCAACAGTGAAAGCCACAAGGTACTTTGGCTTTGAGGTTAAATCCTGCAAGCAGAAAATTAATCAAATGCTCTGTATATAGATGATATACAACAATAAAAACATCAGAGCCCTCTCCAGTCCAAAAATTTACAGACCCTTAATAACAGAAACAGAAAAAAAATCAAGCTAGAAGAAAAATGTACATGTGGCAAGCATAATAAGTTTTCTAAGTCAATATTCTTTCCCAACATGTCTCAATCTTGGATTTAGGGTGTCATATCAGTTTCCTTCATCAAGGCAGACAAAGATTCTGGTCTAGAAGCGCGAGTCTTCATTAACAAGTTTGTTAATAACAGTAACAGGACCTTAATTTGTATTTAGATGCATTTTTCTATGCAGGAAAAAAAACTTGTTTTCTTTGTTTCAACTCCCCTGATGCTCCGAAAAAAGAATGTAAAATAAAAAGAAATGAGAAAAATCTGCTTCTGTGCACATAAATTGTTTTGGGATACACACCTCACTGGGCTGACCCCACAATCTACGCAAATAAAAGTCTGTCTCAGCTTCAATTATCGCAGGAGGTAATCTTTCTGCACCTCTTGGATTTGATGGAACCCATATCTGCAGTGCAGATAATCATGAAAATATGCAGCAATCATTATTCAGACTTAACAAACCATATTCCCAATATTAAATTATATAACACAAAATCGTACTCAAAAGCCATTAACAAAAGAATCATGATGCCTCCGGTTGCTATGTGCTTGATCTTTTATTTTTCCTATTTTGTAACATCACAGCAGTAATTTGTTACTCTCTCCCTTACATTTGATCAATATTTTTATCAATTAATAAAAGCACCATGTTTCTGTTCATATAAAATTTTGCTTTCTACATTTCAACTTTTCTAGATTATTAAAGGTGAAATAGTTTGTGCGTGAAAGAGAAACAGACAGAGAGCTTTTCCAAGCATATGTAGCTTGAGAGTTGAGATAAATAATTTATGAATTAGCAAAATTACTCAAAAATGATTATTGATTAATCTAAGGCTCAGCAGTCCATTGCATGACTGAAAGGAAGATCTAGATGAAGGAAAGCAGGCCAATGTTACTCTTGTATGTTACTTAGCTGTACTTCCTTTGAAATAAACAAATAATAGGGCAGCAGCAGACTAATAACAGAAATGGGATAATTCCAGCACCACATTTACTCAGAGAAACTGAACTTTCCGTTTACTTAATTTGGAGAACCTATCCACTAAAAGTCTACGACCTGTTAAAGCATGGTTCTCAAAACATTAAAGATTTAAAATTGCAAACTACTTTAATTGATAAAATTTACTTCATTCCTCTGGCTAGGGGTGTAAGCGGGTACGGGAAACTCGCGAACCCGAACAGACCAAAACCAATCCAATGAGTTTGGATTGGATTTTTTCAATATTTGGGTCAGACTTAATTCAACCCGACCAAAATCCAGCACTATACAAGTTGGATAATAGGTTTTGTATTTTCAACCTGTTATCTGACTCAACCCGATCATATAATAATAATAATAATAATAATATTTGAATGATCATTTGTTTAGGACAATATTTGCTATTACTTTTACATAGTAACGAATTTTAGGTTGGTAGAATTGTAACAATGTAATATATTTATTTTAAATTTTATTTTGTATTAAAAAATGTTGGTTTTTTTAGTTGATAATAATGTAACAAATTGATAAATTTATTTTAGAATTAAATTTGTATCGTTATTTTCTTTATAGATTGATAATATTATATTTGCAACAATGTATCAAATAATTTACATCTATTTTGAAATATTTAAGATTTTACAAAAAATAAATAAATTTAATTATATTGACCCGATTAACCTTGTTCGTGATTGGGTTGGATTGGATTAAGTTTAAAAAAAAATTGTACAAACCCAACCCGACCCAACCCAACCTGTTAAACCTCTGGCCCACTTACTCATCCCACCTTCTATACCATCCTTCATTCAACAAATACTGTGCATGAATCTTTGATGAGATTATTGAAACCTATTCCAACTATATTATTCAATTAAATATTTTACCTTCGTAATGAAAGAAAGTATACAAATACTTTCTTGAACCTAGAATCTTTAATTTCCTTCACAAGGCTGACACAAGATGTGTACCTTCAATGTATCATTTATTAACCGGTTTTTTGACGAGATGCTGTTATTATTCTTCACAAAAGATGGTGCTTTGACACCTGCATATTTCTCTTGAATGTAAGTAACATCGATGGAGGAAAGCAGGCTGGATGGGAGATTCAACTGCAAGTTGTTAAAGAACCATTAGAGTTCCATTATTAAGTCCAACAACATTTAATCATCAATCTAAATTCACTGAAGCATAAGGTACACCTAACAATATGATATTAAAAGCCTGCACCTTTGTAGTCAATGCCGGAAATGATACTCCTATAAAGAAGCCAAAAACTATTCCAGTAAATGTTGTCACAATAAGCCTCATGCTATCACTTGGTTTTCTGTTGGTAGAACTGTAGCCAACAAGATGCAAATGTCAATCGAACAGAGTTTTGATGTTAACTGGCACATGCAAAAATTTATTTAAAAAAAAAAAACAGCATAAACAAAGTAAGCCATCTCCAAATATTAGACCTGCGAGTACTGATCCCCATTATATCCAAGTTTTTCTGATTGTATGTTCATAAAACTATACACGAGATCTGTTCTTCACCAGTTAGCAAGTGGCATGTCTCCTCCGTATATGAAGCAAAGATACTTGTTACAAAAAGAAAAGGCCCTGTAGAAGGTACAAAGAACAGCTAAACATGTTAATAAACGGAAGAAGAAAATGATTCAAAAGAAAAAATAAATAAAAAGGAAAAATACACCATGGTATCTAAATATCCTTTTAAAACATTAGAAATTGAAAGTATTATTGTTAGCCTTACTGGATTGGGCTGCCACCACCCACCAGTTTTACCACACTAATACGTTGTTAATTTTGGTAAATGTTGCAAGTTTTTCCTTAATTTTTGTATAAATTAATTCTTAAATTATGACCTATTTTGGTTTTGTATATATCTGTTCAAAATTGGATTTAAATAAAATATGAATTATAATCAGATATTGCTTCCTAGTTTTTCCCTGATTGTGGCAGATTTAGTTTCCTCATCGGTACTAATTTTCTCTATAAATCAAATGGCTGTATTATTCAAAATGAATTAGAGAAATAAAAATAGTTTCTTCTCTATTCTAATATGGTATAAAAACTTCAACTCTGAACCTTGTTTTCTCCAATTGTGAAGTTGACAATGATCAGTGCTAATTCAGTCTCTTCAACCAGTGAATGATTGCATGGACCGGCAAATTGGAGGTTTTACCACACAGATCGAAACCCATAAGAAATATAATAAAGGAAATGCCTTCCAACCATCTTCAAAGATACCAAAGAGTCAAAATCTACTACTAAGACAACTCCTTTCATAAAGGAACAATTGGAGCACATGTATAATTCCTTCTTCTTTTTTTTCAAAATGACAGTGAATACATCTTGGTCTTTTGCCAAAATGGTAATCGTTCAATTGTTGCCCTTTTTAGTTTAGAAAAAAAACTCAAAACCTTTTTGGATTGTTGATTCCAGTGCCACTAGCCATATGATAGATTGTACAAAATTATTTTCCTCTTATAGCCCTTGTGCAGGAAACAAAAGAAAAGAAAGTAGCAGATGACTCCTCTGCCATAGCCAGAATATGATCAATTCCTCTCTCTCCATCATTAACTCTTTAGTCTTCATAATGTCATTTATGTGCCTAATTTGTCATGCAATTTACTTTCTATCAGTAAGATTGCCCTCAATATGAATTGTCGAGCAATATTTGATTCCTCTTGTTTCAGGAATTGAACTCAGGGAGAATGATTGCCAATGCTAAAGAAACTAATGGACTCTACGTATTTGAAGATGAAAGTGACTTGAGTGGACTAAATCAAAGTACATGACTAAACTAAACTCTACTCTTGTTTATAAGGATAGAGAAATTATGTAATGGCATTATAGGCTAGGCCATCCAAGTTTTAACTATATGAAACATTTATTTACTGATTAATCAAAAATAAAAATATCTTCTTTGGATTGTGAAACTTGCAAATTGGCTAAACATAATCACTTCCCTTATTTCCCTCAACCTCACAAAGAGTCCAGCCCCTTCACCATCGTGGTGGAGAAAATAGTAATTCATGGTTTAGAGATTAAACCTAGCTCTTGATACCATCATAGACATATTTCAAAGAAATGAAAATTATTATTGACAGAAAAGCTGAGTTGTGTTTACAGAGATATAAGCAACTATATATAGTTGCTGAAGACAACAAGAAAAGCTATCTGACTAGCTAGTGTTCAGAGTATGATAACAAATTACAAGAGTAAAAAGTTAACTAACTAACTAAAAAGGACAGTGACAGGTTTGGCTTTCAGTTATAACCAAAACAGAAAAGAAAAACAATACAAAAACCAATAGAGTAAAATCCAATACTCTAATAAACACCAACATCCGTGAGATCCATACTAGAGTGACTACCATAGGCTGTTACCTGTGATTCACAAATCATAACAGCCCTATGGTATTCCATTTCCAGTAGCAATGCAATGTATTGTGTTTGTGATAAAGAAAATAAGCCTAGAGTAATCAATAATCCTATGATATGTTTCAAATGTTCTATGAACGAAAAAGTAAATCAATAATATTATATGATTGTGCCACAAAAAACCCGCAAATGTTCATGCTTCATAATGATGATTAGTAGACCCATCTCAAACACCCTAACCTATTCTATACTAGAATAAGATTAATACAACACATAATACTAATTTCATAAAATCCTAAAACTAGTTGCCTATTTTACATCAGTTTAGATATGCAACATTGCAGTCCACGGGTAGTTTCCCTGTTCCAGCTTTGTGATTAGCTCTGATATGGCAGTTTGGTTCCTAACCCTACATTAGTTGTGGCTTATTTCACCCCTGTTGGCTATGCTTCCCCACCACTGGGATGTGTTCTCTTCCAACCACAAGCTGTTTTCAAGCCATATTTAATATTCAGGATTTTTTAAGCTTCAGAATTCTTGATGTTTGAAGCTATCAAATGTTGTTTCTGATTAATAATTTGGAGAGTTTAGGCCATGAAGTGTATGATTGTTTGTCAGGAAATTTCTGCAGCACCTCTTTCCATCAGTGTACCTTCCTCCTTGGCCATGCAACATTTGACCAGCTCTTCGAATTGTGAACCACCCCAGTCATCATGTTTTTGTTGTTTCTCCAGCAGTTATTCAGTGTTTGCAATGTCTCATTTGCTAAATTGTCTTTTCAGCATCTCTTCAGCACTATGCATGATGGAGAAAACATTAAACTTTTAGGATCGTCTTTCAGTGTGTTTATTCGTAACAAGCTAAGATCTTACTGCGCTCCAACATGAAGGGAAACATTAAAATATCCAAACTAGTAGTGTTTTAGGAGTCATACTTATATTACTAATCTCATTGACTTCACCAAGTACAAATCGTACTACATTAATAGTCAACCTACATTAATGGCGCAAGGATGTTATTCCTCTAATAAAGTGAAAATTTTAGTTTAGAACCAAAAGTGAGGAGTTATGTCAATGTCTCTTAATGGACAAATAGATTCAAACAACTTCATAAATTTGTTCCAAATCATGTGGATACAATCTAAACACGTCAGTTACATCAATTATCCATCTTAATTTCCCCCTTTCCATATAACCCCAGAATTTCAACAGTTAGTCAACATGAATCCTCCTATTATAAAGGTGTTACATACCCACACCAATTAATGACAAAAATAAAATAAACCATAAGCAAGAAAAACACGTGCTCAGGTGCTCTTCTCCTAATAACCACCACCACCAACGTATATGCAAGCGGGGAAAATCCCCAAAATGCTCCACATTTAAATAACCATGTGTCATTTTCGTGAATTACGGAGAACAACACGGGAAAATAAAATAAATGCAAATGGCAAAATAATATATATAAAAAAATAATTTATAAAAACCGTAAGAAAACAAGGGAACAGGAAAAAAAGAGAAGCGGACCTGGAACTGGAAGCAAGATCTGAAAATGCGAGAAGGTTTTAAGAAGAAAAAGTACACGTGGCGTGGTTGCTGGTACTTGAAATCTGAGGTTGCTAACAATGGCGGTGGTGATCGAGGGATTTAGCAGCGAACACAAATAAAGAAGAATTGTCTCGTATGGAATCTTCTCGCATACGGATTTGTTTTGGTTTAGGTGCAACTTCCTTATGGGGAAAATAGAGTATAAAATGGACACCAAAATTTGAATTTATTAGTGCTACTGTTGCAGTAACTTTTTTTTTTCTTTTTCTTTTTCGCCTGAATCTGTTGCACGATAACTATAAGTAAGATCTGATGGGATGGGATAATAGTCAGTGCGGGAATTTGAAGCGAATAGTGTTAGGTGACTCTTCAGTATTCAACTAATTTTCTTCAACCAGTCTTTTACCGTTTTACGCCTCCTCTTCTTCACTCAGCTTCTAAATTCATATTCAGCTAAAAATTGACTTATTTTTTTTATTGGTTTTTTAAATAATAAATTCAAATATAAAAATACACACGTCTAAAATTGTTAATTTTATAACATCTTCAAGTTTTAATTAATGTAATATCTATTCCAAAAATAATATAATATAATAATAATCTAATATAAAAGAGGTATATCTTTTTAGTGGACATCATTTTTTAGACTATTTTATTTTTATAACTATTTTTTTATTTTTAAAAAATAGATTGAGGCAAAAATGTATCTATCTACCTACTTTGTATAATGATAACAATAATTTACAAAGTCAAACATCTCATTATATTTAGATGTAAATTAAGGAGATGTGAGTTGATTAAAATAATTAAGGAAACTAACGTGTCTAAATTTTATTTGATGCAAGAAAAAAAAACATAAAATAAGAAAGATACATTACTACATAAAAAAAAAAAAAAGTAAATGAATATAAGAGTTATTTTATTTTCAAAGACATTGGTTAGATGAATTTATTATTTTTTGGTAAATTAATTTTATTAGTAGTATTTCAACTTTTACATTACATATTGTATTATACAATTAAATAAATGTTTAAACATATAATTATATTTAAAATACTTGAATAAATAAATATTTAAATATATAAGAAAGATACATGATCTACTAAAGGTTCTACTTGAAGAGTTTGAGGAAAATTAATAAATTTGGCATATTTTGTATTTAAGTTTTTGTTAGTCACATCGTATGTTGGGCTTTTATATTTTTCTTTAATCTTTGTAATTTGGGCCTTTGTTTGATCTTTTATATGTTTTTTTTAAATAATAATGTTTGCTAGGATCTATTAATGAGTTTCATTATAATGGACCATAATGAATATTAGGTTTATTCTATAAACAAACTTGATGTTGACTTTGTAATCAATTTTGTCTCATCTTGAAATGAAGTTTTTGATGCTTTGTGAGAAAAAAAACTCTTTTTAGGTTTTTAAGAATTATCTTAGGTTCATATCTTTCATTTTTCCAATTTAAAGTAACGAATTTTTTCAATTTGTCAATTATTAGGATTGTGGTGTTAATTTTTCATTTCTTGTATCAATCTATTTTTCTCTTTTTAATTTCCATGTTTACTTAAAATTTGTCTAAGAAAATCTTTTATGAGATGCTAAATTTATGATCCATTCACAACTTATATCATTTGGTATTTAGAAGTAAGATTTAAGCTTAAAATTAAGGTTGTGTTTATATGTCAAGTTCTGCATTTTTAAATAACTTTATATTCTATTTCAAGCTTTGTGTTTGTTTCTAATATTTGTTTGAACTCAATTTTATTTATTTGCTCAAAGTCTATTTGTTCTTCCATTTCATTAAATGTTTAGTTTCCTAAATTTCTTAATTAGTTCTTAAATTTATGTATTTGTGTTCTTGGTATTCATCCTATGTTCATAAAATTTATTCAATTCCTGTGCCTATTAATTTTTTAAAAAATGAATTAAGGTAAGAAATAAAAGAATAATATCATAATCTCTGAAAATTAATAAGTTTAGAAAAATTTGTTACTTAAAATTACAAAACTCAAAGACAACAATCAATGATAGTTCTTAAAAACCTATAAAGAGTTTTTTTCTCACAAAGCATCACAAGTTTCATTCCAAAATGAGAATATATTGTTGCATGACCTTCTAACAAACACATTTTCACCTCTATATTTTCAAAATTAGTAGAAGACATGAGGCAAACAACCAAACACCCCTTAGGTTATTTTACATGATCCAATAAAAATTAATAAATAGATGTGAAAGAATAATAGTTTTACAAAATTGACCTTATTATTATTAAATTTTTATTAAAAATAATGCACCATAACAACTTTTTAAAGAATATTATAAAAAAGTATAAATGAGAAAAATATAATTAATAGTACATTAAAAATTAAGATGACACTAATTTTGAGACTATTTTTTTTTTATTTATAAGACACTCACTATAAGATAGAGGAAGTATTTTTTTACCCTAAACTTCATCATTTTTAATATATAAAAACATATTATTATTTAATTACAGTGATTAATAAAATTAGAACAGGTATATATTATGATTTAATTATTTAAATCTCAAATAAAATTTGAATTTATATAATATAATGATCAATTTATTAAAAGATTATTATATTATTTGGTATTTAAATTTTTAATTAAGCCTTTAAACTATTCTTTTAGAATTGAATCTTTCATCTTTTAATATTTTTATAATATAATTCTTAAAATTCTAAATTCATTTATAATTTGTAAAATTTAACAAAATATTCATTATATGATTGTAGCTCAAAGTATTGTGCGGGTTGAAAGCTTAAACGCTGTTTTGGAAAGCAATAAGCAGAAGTCAGTGATCATCCTAAATAAATATAAGTCCATGTATGATTGTATATCTGGTGTATTCAAAGTTTTGTGTTACTGAAAAGGTAACCTCCACCCTGCGAAATTGATAAAATTCATCTAGAGACCTTGGAGTTTAGGACCTCAATAACATGCTGAGCAAGCAAAGGCTTATTTGAGAAAATCAATTGGTTTGGCTGAAATCAAATGCACCATATTTTATTTTATACATCCAAATGCATCATAGTAATTCCAAATGTCACTACCCAGCTACCACCACTCTTATCCAGATTTTGTCTACGCCAAATATTGCGGTCCACATTTATACTCACGAGCATGACGGATCCACATATAGTATTCATTTGATACATACATACATATTTCTTATTAAAAAATAATATATTTTAAAAAATAAAATTTATATTTTAATAAAATAAATATATATTTAAATTATTGTATATATAAAATAGAAATTTGAAAAAATATTTATTTATTTGATATTTGTCAAAAAAATCAAAGAGTTTAATTATAATATGTGTATATATATATATATATATATTAATTTTCATATATATAATGTAATATATTAAAAAAATTAATTTTTGATAAAATAAAATTTGTAGAATACATGTTTGTTTTTTGTATTTTTTATTTATTGTATACGTTAATTAAAAAAATTAAAAAAACTATTGAAAGATTTATGTTCTATTTAGAATTTTTAATATAAAATATATTTTCAAATAACTTATATCTAAAAATTTATATTAGATATTAAAAACTTGTTTATATCATAAATAAATTAAACTTGATTTTTATAAAATTTAACATATTTATTTTTATGTTTTTATTAGTTTTAAGTTATTATAAAGTGGGTCTTTGGAATTGTATTTCTAACCAATCATTTAAAAAATGTTTATGATAAATAAGTAAGTCATATTTAGGATAAGAATTTTAAAAAAAAAATTAGGTTCAAACCTACTAAATTATAATATAATCTAATTTGACCTAATTTATTTTCATCTTTAATTGTAATCGTAAATATAAAAGTTTGTAAAACATAATTATAATATATTTATATTTTTAAAAATTATATGTAAAAATTTTAATATTACAAATATATAAATAAATATTGCCCCCACTATTTAAAGTTTCTGGATCCATCGATGCTCGCGAGATGACGACCCTTAGGGCCAAGGATCTCCCACAAAGAACTCACATATTTTTTTGTGATTCCCAAAGAAAGAAAGAGATGATCAATAATGTTATATATATAATTAAAATAAATCATGACTCTATATAAAATTAAAGTTAATTACTAATTTTTAAAAAGAAAATTAGAAAAATTATGGATCGTTTTACCCGACATAAATTCATATTGAAAAAAGTAAAATATACAATTCCAAGTCGTAGTTGGTAGAATTAACCACAAGATGTATAATCTATCGTCACCCTTCCCATTACCTGCCACTGGAAACACTGGATTCAATATGGGCCCTGCGAAGTCCAAATGGTAGACCCTTATTCTGTACCGTCATCGTTAGGGTTGAAGAAGGTGCTTGTAAAAACAAACTCTATGATGACTACATTGACTTTCAATTAGGACCTCATAATATATCATCTCTCTTAAAATACAATTTGTGTTGGTATTATGTTTACATCAACCATGTGTACCGTCAAAATCATGATTATTTTCCTATTGTTTCTTCTTCTTTGTTCCATTTCCCTCCTGACGATATCAGTACAAATATAAAACGAATAGGAAACATTTTTATCCAACAAGACAAGAGCAATGCCTATTACCCGCCGCCATCGCCATTCCTACCCATGCCACCACAAATTTCTGGCTTTTAAAAGCTCTTATAACTATGCCACCTCCTAGCTTTAGGCACAGATCCCCAAATAAAATATGTATCATGCATTTTCTGCTCTAAGTTATATCACATATACTACACAGAACAACACATGGTTTGCATTGCATATATTATTGGAAGCGTTCTTATAATGTATTCGTACTATATATTGTCCCAAAAGATAATTTTGAGTATAAAATAGTTCACATGATTTTCATATTGTATCATATTTGTGTATTAAAAATTAATAATAGAAAATAAATTTCCTTTTTTTAAAATATTTTTTATCTTTAAAATTCATTGATAAATCATTATATATTATATAATCACGAATGCCATAAGATTAAATGTATTAATAAACTATAGATATTAAAGTAAATTGAACTTAAAATAATTATAGAAGTAAAATCAAGATAAATTAAAATTTAATATGAAATAAAATGAATTAAAATAATTAAATAATAAATGAGAGAGATAAATAAATAAAACATAATAATTATATAAAGACTAATTAAATATATAAATAGTGTGTGTATATATTGTCATGTTTAAAAAATATAATTACATTTATATTATGTTATAAAATTATAAGTAAATGAATGTTGTCAAACAAATGAATATAATTATATTTGTAAGTATATAAATAAAAAATCATGACGTTCAAAAGGATCTATTATGAAAATTATATTTTTTTGAATTCTTCTCTAATGTATTATTTATACCTATTATAAAGAAAATATTTTATTTTATGTACACAATTTTTAGATTATTTTATTTTAAAATTTTTAAATAATATTAAAAATTAATTAAATTTAAGATTCAAATTTAAGATCTTTAAATTTAAAGAATAAGTACAACATCAATTAATCTGTTAAAAATTGATAATTTTTTAACACTTTTATTAAATAAAATATATAAATATGAAGTGTCTCAATCCACTGGTTATAATAATTTTAATATCTTCATATCTTTACTTTTATAGTGTTTTCTCACCCAAGTTTATTAAATAATTTTTTCATCTAAGAATTTTTTATTTTATTTTACTTAATTCAAAATCAATTACTTATTTTTGTCATGCTAAAATTTTTAATTTTTAATATTTTTATATTCAATTAATTTTATAGCTTTTTTCAAAAATCAAAAGTGACGTATTTTTTAATTAAAAATAAAATATTTTTTTTTGAAAGACTAATATCTAACTTAGATAATTTTAGAGATTTTGTCTATTTAATTGCGTCCAAAAGACTCTTCTCTTCTCTTCTCATTCATCCATGAAAGATGCGTGACGGTGCATTCTTGAAATTGGCAAAAATTCCTCCACGCACAGAAGTTGTGTGCCAGTGCCACTATGCCCATCAAACGGGTAATGTTACTAATGTAATTAAGTATGAAAATTAAAATTGTACTGCATAAAAAAATATGTTTTAAATTGTAATCTGGAATTTTTTTTATATTTACAGGAAAGAAAAATGTTTAACCCTTAATTTTATTATGTAGTGTAATATAATAAAATAACGAAAGGTTGATGACCATGACAGAAAAGTTCCCCACGTCCCTTCCTATAAATACTTTCCCAATGTTACCACTTTTCTTCACCCGAAGCTGAGAAATGGCTTGTGTGCACTCTCTCGTGTTGCTCCTGCTTGGTGTGGCGGTTCTCACCACTCCAGCACTAGCTAGTTCCAGGCTTTCACTTTTTGAGCCTTCACCAATTAACAGTATTGAAAAACCACTCACCACCACCACCACCACTCCTATCATGAATAACTTGAAGCCATCATCAGTTTATAGGCCCCCACCAAAAGTTAAACTTGAAAAACCACTTACCACCCCTCCTACGCTGACTAATTTCAACACGACATCGTTTTATCCTCCCACAAAAGATGATCACATTGGGAAACCACTCACCAACACTCATGTTAACCCATCATCTGTTTCCACTCCTCCACCAGATGATGACACGGAACCACTCACTGTGACTCATATCAACCCATCATCTATTTATACGCCTCCAGAAACTAATATTGAGAAAGCACCATCATTTAATAATAATCCCCCTTTACAATAACCACCTTTCACATGAACAGCCTCCACCAGGGTACCACCCTCTATTTCCAGAAACCATCCATCACTGATCACCCCTGCTCATTACAAACCTTACGAGAAATCACCAGTCTCACCAATGATATTGTAATGTCTAATTATTAGTGGGTCTACGTCTATCTATGCTACAATAAGGTTTCCTTTGTTATTAAATCTTCCTTATTTACATGCTTAAGTAATACAAGTTTAACTTATTTATGTAGTTCTGTCTTTATATATATATATACTCGTTAAGCATAATCTAACAGACGCGTACGCATATTCTTGACATGGTACGTCTAACTAAGGTTCAACTAATTAAATTGCGGTAAAAGTCAGAGTTTGTCGTTCGTACGGAGAAAAATCGCAGATAAATTAAATATGTCGATGCATTCACAAATTGTGGCTACGAAGACCTCAAAATCCTTGATGTTGCAGTAGAAATTGCGGTATTAATTAAACTACTTTTTAAAATCTTTTGCGCAACTTTACACAATTAAATTATGACTGATTTGCATGCATAGAAGTTTCCACGCAAGAATATCTTGCTTACTTTTGATGAGAGGCTGAATTTTCAAATTAACACGGCCTTGGAAGCATCTAGTAATTCGTAAAAATAAAAAAAAATTCCGTAACGCTAAGGTTGAAGCAGATCATGCTCAAGAACGTCATTAATTTGATCTAAATTACTCACAAATATCATTTTAAATATTAGTAGCCTTATGTATGTTAATTCAACTAACCCTGGATGCTTGAAAACCTTAATCAGGCAATCTATATAATCAAGGAGATTTGCTTGATCATGAAATGTTTTTCCGAGCATCTTCATGTTTGGAGTTTAACTTGCTTGTATTCAAAACGTCTCATGTTACAGGCTGACACTATGTCACTGAGTCCATCATAATTATCATTATTATATTTTTAATTTTAATTTATCTGTTTTATTTCGATTTGTTTGCATTTATGTAGGTTAGACAGAAGCTTTCTTTGCATTTAATTTATTGCTATGGTTAGCTTTGAACGACGATTACGATTGCGATAGCAAATTGCACAACCGACACAATTTTGTAATTTGCGATTCTGATTTGCACAACGCACACACTCTGTGGTTGTTCTATTGCGATTTGCAATTGCACTCACCCGATCGACTTTGAATCTAAGATAAAGGACAATATAACATTTGGTATGAAAATTATTAGTCGGAATAAATTGCTACAATATATAAGACCTGTTTTATCGTATTAGAATATATTCAATTATCGATCTCTCTTGAATTGTCACATTGTCCCTGCTGTTTTATGTAAATCCATGTAATTTTGTGCCTTCCTATTTGGTACTTAAGAAGCACAGGCAAAGTTGTGTTCGCATGTCCAACACATCAAGACACTACAATAAAAAAAAACGATTTTTAATGACATTCAATATTGTTTTAAGTGATTATAAAATATTTTATTGTTTCATATTAGTATCAATAAAATATTTGTTGATAATTATTTTGTATGTTGATAAAGCTCTTATAATAAATATATATATATATATATGGTTTTTTGTAATATTTTTTTATTGGCATTTATAATGACTACAAATATTAGTTTTTAAATGTTTATAACTATCTATTTACTAAATTTTTATTATTGTCATTAAAAATTTAAGAAAATATTTTTAAGTTTTATTATTCTTGAAAAAAAAATAGTTATATCATTTAATGAGTAATTTAATAATTATTATTATTATTTGTAATTCAAATTTAATTATTAGCGACATTTACTTATATATTTTTTAATTATCTTTTTTTAGTTTAAAACTTGAGGTTTTTTTCAATAATTATTTTATCTTTAATTGATGTAAAATTAAAATACACTTCTATGTATTCTTTAATTGTCTTATCTTTAATTAATTTAAAACTTGAACTTTTTTTAATTTATTTTCATATATTCTTTAATTGTCTTATATCTAATATAACATTAATTGATCTGGAACTTGAATTATTTTTAATCCACTTCTAACAAAACACTTATCTAACATCATTCCTAATACAAAAATATTTGATATTAGAAGGGGTTGTAACATTTTTTAATTTTATTTTCATAAGTATTATTAGTTGCTTTAACTTTTAAGAAAAATGATTCAGCTTCAATGCATCCTCATCATATAAAATTTGTAAAGTTTGACAACTTTAAAGTTCTATATATAAATCTTAATTACCAATTTAGAGTTTTGTCATGTTAATTATAGTATATTGTGTCCCCATATTCTATGTTTTGGACATTAACTAACTGTGTCCTGATATCAATGTTCGTGTCATGTTCGATGTCTGTATGAGAGTAAAAATCCGTAGTTTTTTTACTAATAGCATTGGTGTATAAAATCCAAAGCTAGGCTGTCACGCTGATTAATTAGTACAAATATCACCATAAATTAGCTTGGCCTATTGATAGAAATATGTACCAAAATGAAATGCATATTCTAGCCTTTAGTGAACAAAGTAATCTTATCCATACCCTATAAACCTGCCACAGAAAATCTAGTAGATTACTACTGATTGTTGAAACTTAAGTATGTGGGTTATTGAATGGTGGGCAGATGAAGGTGTTATAAAAAAGTTGAAGATTGGATGATGATTAGGGCTCATATGGAAACCATGGGCAAGAGAAGGAAGGCATAGTCGAGTAATTATGCGTGAATTGTGGAGTGGGTGGGCATGAAAAATTGAAAATAATGGCAATTGGTGCACAAACCATTTTTTTTTTTTTTGGGTTAAAAGCACAAGCCAGAGGACTAGAAGCCTGGCTTTGGCGCACACACCATGTGCCCCTTAATTATGCTTTCTCTAGATTATGGACTGCACCTACTCCTTTAGATTAAACACACTCGAGTGAACATGATCGAGTCATGATCCTTACAAACGCAATTTGTGAAAGTGCATGCGTTCCTTAGTCCTTCTCAATTCCCTTGGTACATGAAGTCAGTGCAGGCCAGGCACTGAATTTTACTCTTGCATTTCTTTTGGCTTTGGCCACATCACTTGACTATTTCTTTTTAACGTTTTTTAATCAAACAATCTTACTGACCCTTAAACTTAAAATTTTCAATTATTGGTGAAAAAAGTTAATTTTGATAAACATAAAGAAAATTGGCATAAAATTTCAAGTATATGCCCTCGAAACGAAGGACTACCGCATAGAAATATATGTTGATTAATCGAATATTGGCATAATTTGAGGCAATGAAATTAAGATTTCCGTTAAAATGCAGTGTTTCCGCTTAACTCTTTAGGAAGCAATAGTTGCATGTGTCATGTACTCATGTTGCATGTCTATCCAAAAAAAAAAAAAAACACGGATATAGAAACGTGATAAATTTTAAAAAATGAAATGTTCATACTGTTTGAGAATTTGGACCAGCCATTATTTTTTAATCAGTGAAACCAAAGACTTTCTCTATACCACAGATTTTTCCAACTAGTTTTTTTCCCCCAGCTGTTTTTCCGCTTTTCAATTAAAAGTAGCTTACCAGTTTACCACTGATTGTCTTTTATAGGTCTTAGTTTCTGGCTTCTTTTTCTCTGTTTTGTTTTGTTTTCGAGCTTTATAAAAGAACCATCAATACATGCTTTAACTTATGGTACAGCCATTATGTTAGACGAATATGATCTTTAAATAATGTAAATTTGTGTTGGACAATCTTTGATTACAGCTTTATTCTCATGTCACTATTGTATTTCTCAACTAATTCCTTTTAATTCATTATAGGAATCATCAGTAAAAAAATGTGATTTTACTCTTTTTACACCAATTACATAACCAATAACCATGTTCATAATGTTATTATAAATTTGTAATTTCAACAATATTTTAACATTGATTCTTATTCAGACTGGTTTAAATTAGAATCAAAAACAAATATTATATGTCAATATATATAGTTTGTATTTGTACTTTTTAATAAGAGTTAATTACTTATATATTGTCAGTATAAAGTTTTTTTACACTGACAACCAATCATATCCTTTAATATATAGTGTCATATCAATTGCTTATTTAATGAAATAAAAATAAAATAAAATATTTTAAAAGATTTAATTGCTTGTCCGTGTAAAGTGTATCAATGATTAACTCTTTTAATAATATGCAACATTTATAAAATTGATAAAAATATATTTTAATAATAAATATTATAGTATTACATGACAATTTTTTTTAGTACATAGATAAAATATATATTGATTAAATTCTTATTTTCATTATTTTATATTTGTGTGTATATAATCTTTGATGTTGTGCCAGAAGGTGATTTCCCTGACCTAATTAATTAAAGAGTGAGATTTAAGCACAAAGAAAACCCTGATTTAGGCATAGATAAAACCACATATATTGGATATTACAATATCCTGTTGAAACAGAAAGGAAAATTGGAATTATTACATAGAGACATAGAGCCTTTGTTTATTTTGAAGAACTAGTGATCAGCATGCAGAAGGGGCAGATTATTGTAATAGACATCTTAATATGTAGTGCTTCCTAAGTGCAAACACAAAACCTTATAAATGACAAAAGGACCTCTCTTACAATGAGGCTCGCCACTGGTTATTAGTTTCAAATGGCTTGTGCAGCAGGCTTCAACCTTTTACGGCATCTGAAGAAGTTTTTGACCCTTTTTGGGGGAGATTCGTCATCATTTAGCTTATAAAATGAAGAAGGTTTTAACCTTTTTGCGGGAGGCTCATCATCTAACTTATAAAATGAAGAAGGTTTTAACCTTTTTTCGGGAGGCTCGTCATCATCTAGCTTATAAAATGAAGAAGGTTTTAACCTTTTTTTCCGGAGGCTCGTCATCATCTAGTTTATAAAATGAAGAAGGTTTCAACTTCTTTTCAGCAAATGACACTGTAGTGGTGGTGAGTGGTTTCTCAGTATGTTGTTTTGGGACAGGCTCAGAAGAAGAGGCCAGCATTGGAGTGGTGAGAACCACCGCTCCAAGCAGGAG